AAATGATGTGTAAATCTTGTACTCAACAGGAAAATCTGAGCTGGGAGAGTTGTTGCCAACTGTTTAGAAACACGACGACTGTAAGTGCTTTGGGAAAATTTAAATAAATAAATTGCTATGCAAAATATATATTTGTTTGATCTGGATTCATTTTTGAAAAAGAGATTGAGAGTTTGATACTACTTTAAGTGCAAATCAGATTTGTGTAAAACATAGTAGCACAAGATCCCCTACTCCCTGACTAACGTATAATTAACCTTAAACACACCAACAATATAAATAAAAGCCCAACTCAATCCAAAACTTGTTTCAGTGATGGATAGAATAGCAAAGATTTAGAACCACCATACATTTATGTTGCTATCTGTGTCCCAATGTAGGAGACTTCTTCCCACATTCTTGCTCCCCACTTCCTGTTAATTTGATGAATGAACAGACAAACATTTGAGCCAGGACAGAAGTAGCAATACAATCACATTTTCTAATAGGCTGAGGATGTTTTACAACATCAGTCAGGATTTATTGCTGCCTGAGTCCTCACAGGGGAGATATTTGATTGCTTCATGTCCAGGTGACATGTCACATGACACACAAACAGCATTTAAAATTTGACAGAAAACATTTCTTCAAATGAAATAGACAGCATTTAAAAACTTAGTCGAAAAAAGATGCAGCTAAGTTTTAAGATGTGAATAAAGTGTGCTGGAACAGGGACATATTTGGTAACAATTTCAATTTATATATTTTAAAAATAATAATACATCAACAACATAATGTAGAAGATAAAAGAAAATAATGATGATAAATACAGTATCCCATGATCACCACTTGGTAAACAATAATATTCACTTAAAATGCAGTTTATCTACTATAAACTACTTATTTTCTATCTATAAGATGTATCCTAATCTATTTTATACATCTGTACTCTGTAAATAAATACATTTAAATTTGACCTAAACATAAAAATTGAACAGTTGCTATCTTGTAGGGAAATGTAGAAATGTTAATTATGCCTAAGCAGTATCCTGAATATTTACATTTAGTATTAAATATTACCTAAAAAATAGATGAACTTCCTGGTATGCAAGTGTGTCTAGACATTCCTGTGCTAATTAGTTCAGGGGTGACTCTGCTGGAGCAGGACGCCTCCTCTATTGGGGGGGAGGGAGTGATTGCTCCAGCGAGGAGGGAAGTCGGATGGAGGATCAGGAGAGGCAGATCCTGGTGGTGGGAGATTCCATCATCAGGCGAACCGACAGGGTAATCTGTCATCGGGACAGTGAGCGTCGAACAGTGTGCTGCTTACTGGGGGCGCGTGTTCGTCACATTGCGGAACGAATTGACAGATTACTAGATGGGGTTGGGCACAACCCAGTTGTCATTATGCACATAGGCACCAATGACAAAATAGGAGGTAAATGGAGTGTCCTAAAAAAGGAGTTCAGAGACCTAGGTGCTAGGCTGAAGGAAAGGACCTCCACGGTGGTATTCTCTGAGATACTGCCAGTGACACGAGCCACTCCGGAGAGACAGCGCGAGTTGAGGGAACTTAACAAGTGGCTCCGGAACTGGTGTCGAAACGAGGGCTTTGGTTTCCTGGAGAACTGACTGACTTCTCAGTCGGTTACCGGCTCTTCAGCCGAGACAGGGTTAAAATAAAAATAAAAAACAAAAAATTAAATATTAAACAACCTATTGTGACAGATATCATAGAAGGAAAAAACACAGGATTAGATAGTGGGCTCACTCCAGTCAACAGAGTCGACATAGTCAAAGTAGTAAATCAAGCCAATATAGAGAGCATACTAAATGTCAGTAAAGTAAATCTAATTGCCCAAGGTAACCCAAGTAGGAATGGACCAACCGTAAAAGGGACAAATAAAAGCAGTAGTGGGGAGCAGGAGGGGAGCAAACATTTAACCAGTAAATGTACAAAAATTAAATGTATGTTCACCAATTCTAGGATGTTGTAATCGGGGAGACGCTGGGCAATAGTGATCACAAGGTGATTTCTTTCAATATTGGGTGCAAGAAAGGGAAGGGGGATGGGCGGACAAGAAACCTAAACTTCAGGAAGGCTAACTTTGATAAACTACGCAATATAGTGGGTGAGATCGATTGGGAAAACGTATTTGATAAACTAAACTTTGACCAAAAGTGGGACTGTTTCAAGAACAAATGAAAAAATGCTATTACCACGTGTATACCGCTGGGGAACAAAAGTAAAAGATCAAAAACAAAGCCAATATGGATAAATAAATCGGTAAAACAACACATTAAGGAAAAAAATTGCATTTAGTAAGTATAAAATGGAGGGACAGTATTGGCATTCCAAAACTACAAAGAATTTAATAAAAGATGTAAACTGGCAGTGCGGGCAGCTAAAATTGAATGTGAAAAATATATCGCCGAAGTTAGTAAAAAGAACCCCCAACAATGTTATCAGTACATAAACAGTAAAAAGGGGAGGAAGGAATAGGCCCAATAAAGGACATAAATAGGTAGTTACTCACAAGCGACAGGGAGAGGGCCGAGGCGCTAAATACTTTCTTCTTGTCGGTATTCACCAAGGAAACAGACTGGTTCAATGTACATGATAAAACACAAAATTTAACAAGAAATACACCTGAGTGGTTGACGGAAACTGGGATACAACATAGGCTTAAACTACTAAATGCAAAAAAAGCATTAGGACCTGATAATCTACACCCCAAGGTACTCAAAGAACTGAACAAGGAGATAACAAGACCACTGTTCCTAATTTTCAAGGAATCCGTAATGGCTGGTAGAGTGCCAAGCGACTGGAGAAAGGCTAATGTGGTACCTATATTCAAAAAAGGGTTAGTCTGACATGCATATTGTGTAAACTGTTGGAGGGAATTATTAAGGACTACTTAGTGGAAGTCGTCCGGGACCATAGTATAATAAGTGATGTGCAACGTGGATTTAGGAAGGATCGTTCTTGCCAGACCAACCTGCTGACCTTTTGCAGAGAGGTAAGTAGAGATCTGGATAGGAGGAGGCCGGTGGACGTAGTATATCTGGACTTTGCCAAAGCGTTTGATACGGTGCCACATAAACGCTTGTTATACAATTTAAGGGCTATGGGCATAGATGAATTAGTGTGAACGTGGATAGAAAACTAGCTACAAGAACGTGCACAAAGAGTATCAGTTAATGGCACCTTCTCAGACTGGGCGGAGGTCAGGAGTGGCGTACCCCAGGGTTCGGTGCTGGGTCCCATACTTTTTAACCTATTTATTAATGATATAGGGGAGGGAGTGAGAAGTCATGTCTCAGTATTTCCTGATACGAAAATTGGGAGGTTAGTAGACACAGATTTAGACATTATAACATTGCAGGAGGACCTGGATAGAATTGGGGAATGGGCAACTGTATGGCAGATGAAGTACAATGTCGATAAATGTACAGTAATGCACCTTGGAGTTAAAAATAGGCAAATGGACTATACACTTATGGATGTGCCACTAGGGAAGTTGGAAACAGAGAAGGATTTGGGGGTCATTATAGACCGCAGATTGAATAACAGTGTGCAGTGCCAGGCTGCTGTAAACAAAGCAAGCAGAGTCCTGTCGTGCATTAAGAAGGAAATGTCTTGCAGGGACAAGTCTATAATTGTGCCACTTTATAGATCACTGGTTCGGCCACATCTGGAGTATGCGGTCCAGTTTTGGTCACCAATACTCAGAAAAGATGTCCTTGAGCTGGAAAAAGTCCAGAGGAGGGCAACCAAACTCATTAAGGGGTTCGAGGATCTGAACTACGAAACAAGGTTGTTAAAATTAAATATGTTCTCGCTGGAGGTTAGCAGATTAAGGGGGGACAGGATTTTCATGTATAAACTATTCAAGGGGGACAGCAACCTAAGTATAAAAACTGTGTACGGTAGCTCTGTAACAAAGACCAGAGGGCACAACCAAAAATTGGTGGAAAAAAATTTCAACACACAGGGCGCAAGGTGTTCTTCACAGTTAGAGCGGTTAGGGTCTGAAACTCGCTGCCGCAAGAAGTGATTTCAGCTAAGAGTGTTGAATCATTCAAGAAACTCCTGGACGAGTTCCTTGGAGACCGTAACATAAAGGGTTACAGGTACTGCTAAGAAAAAAATCACACATGGACTCATATACACGCACACACCTACTCATAAATGCATACACGCAATAGGTTGGACTTGATGGACTATGTCTTTATTCAACCTCAAATACTATGTAACTATGTAACTATGTAATAGTCTCATAGCATATCTGAAGTGTGAGATCTAAGGCACTGCTGCCTCTGACTGCTAGCCTCAGAAGGTTTGGCATGAGATTTGGTAATATCACTACTGTGCTGCTCACTGTTCTCTTTGCTGGAGGTTCTGGCATGAGGAAGCAAAGCCCTGCCTCTACCAAGATGGCCACATCCAAACAGAGTCACACAGACTCTACAGAACAAGGCCTACTAAGTCAGTAAATGGAAAAAAAATCAGGTGCAGGGAGACCACTGGCAATACTGGTGACTAGTCCTTTGCCCCTTGCTTTGGACACAACTTCCAGAGTTTAGTCTGTTTTTAACACTTGGCAATTCCATAAAAATAAAGGAGAATTTTATATAATGTTCATTTAAAAGATTTAAATAATTTTACAACAAATATGACCAATAAAAGCATACTCGTGAGTCTCTGTATAACTAGCTTTGCCCTTCACATACTGGTAATAAACAAATACTTACAAAGACTGAACTATATTACTATGCAAATTAAAGTCAGCAAATGAAAGGAAGGTCTCTGAGTTACTCTTCTTGCATAAAACCTTAAGGGATGCCAAATCTGAAAGTAACATTTAATCATAACATTATGGATTGTAATATAACAATTTATGTTACCATATGGAGATGTGGTAATTGAAATTACCTCCAGAAATACAAACACTGAGTGCCATTAATCAAAAGCCCCCACATGTGTATTAATTAAATGTCTGCATTTGACTAATACCTACCGTTGGTTGCATAACATATGGCGGGTGAGGCATCCATGATGTACTTTGCACCTAGGTGATAAAGAAATAGTATTAGGTCGCGGGTGCAGGCCTTGAACATGTTTGATTAATGCCTTGATAATAATCCATTAAATGATTGGAAAACTAATTTCAAGCTCTAAGCAAAACCCTGCCTACGAAGTTGACATGAATCATTTTCCACGTGTGCTGTTTAATTCTACAGCTACATTACTACTATTGAATTATTCTACTATCTTCCAATATTAAGCAGGGATACATTGCACAATAAAATATATAATAAAATTAACAATATTGCAATGGTTTTGGTATATTTCAAAAATTGCAGTACATTTTTGTAAACATCTCTTTTTATGACAAAAAGATGTGTTATGTGATGTGCAAGCACCAAGGTTATACCTGACTAAATGAACGAAAAAACCCCCAGAAAGGACAGTTAAGAGATTCAGTGCTTACATGAAAAGTTGTTTGATGTAATACTTAGCATAGTGGTAAATCTGAAACCTTCTTCTGCTTTTTTTCCCTTAGTTTCAGCAAAGGCAATATATATATGTTCTATTCAATTCAATCTATTCAATTGTTGCATCATTGTATTAAAAGCTCTGACCATGTAGAAGTCCTGGTAGCATTCAAAACAATCTAACATTTTAAAAGCACAGTTTAATGGAAACCACACATGGTTTCATAAATGGTATACTCACTATTTCAAGGGTTAAAATAAAAACAAAATTAGTAAGAACAAAAAGTAAAGCTAAGCAGTATGAAGTAAACATTTGTAAGAATCTGAATCTGTTATGGTTATATTGATCTCCTATATATGTTTTTTTTAATAGTGACGCCTTGCCTATTAGGCGGAGCTGTATGTGCTGTTATTTGGCTGTATTCTTTCCCTGTCAGAGCAGAAAGTCAACTCAAAGTCAGGCTGATCTGTGTCCAGCCTGTATCTCCTGACACTCTGCTAGCTGCTAGATGGCTGGCATCTTTTATTAGCACGTTGTCCAGGCAGGAGATGAGACAGCCTTACAGACTAATACTAACCTAACTGTAAGTAAATACCTAAAAATCGAATTATTTTTGAATGGTAAGGCTGTAGTATTAAACCAATTCAATAGTGGAGATTCAGGTTTCTGCAAATACTTTGAGTTCAGTGGCATACTTGCTGTGGCATCCTATCTGAAGAAATGCAAGTGGGTTGAGGAAAGTAAATTCCTCAACCTCAGCATGACGAAAATACTTCTTACAGAAATTAAATGAAAATCCCTAGCTATTTAATGCAGTTGTGGTCATGTAATCCATAAAAGTCTATTCTGAAAAGACTTTTAGAATGTAAAGACTTGATAAGACATATAGGAATTTGGATTATGAATACACAGATAGCTAATCTAAAGTGTTAATCAGTCTAGAAAAGATGGCATATAAAATTTAAATCATATTAATTTTATGACAGACAGCATATCATTGTTTATTGACTACCGTCGCAAACACAGATCTGACATAAAGGATCCTTAAAAAGCGATAATTAGGATTATGAATATCACATGAAAATCTATTTAATAATGATGACAAGTTATGTTAATTGACTTTACTACTATGCTACTTGCCTTGCAGGCTGTTAAATCTATCTTAAGCTACAATTCTTGATTTCATTGTAGATGAGACTTTTTACTACAAACTATTGGATTTCATTATCTCAAGTATTTTCAACTCCTTGAGCAATTCTATCTCAAGATTAATGGTGTTGCCATGTGAATGTGTTTGCCATCCCAGATTTGAACTGATGCTTTCAAATTATAGGGTTGTTTTGAGGAGATGCACAGATTTACATTCTTCGCTTAGCTCAGAGATGTACTTACTGCACTTATCCAGTCAACTGTAACGGAAAAACCTATTTTATTAAGTTATTCTGCATTATCTAATCCTATACATCAGGTATAAAGACAACCTCATTTGTAAATGATTGTATCTGTTATATTTAATCAGTTGTATCATCTGTGGAATATCTCAATCACAATTGTACATCTTTAGTTTTAGTTTACATATTGATGTTTTATCCATTTTTAGGATCTCTATCACAAAACAAAAAAGTTGAACAAAAAGTATTCATGCTGAGTATTATATTTAAGACATAAATGTAGTAATTACATTCACCATGATTTAATGCCATTATCTAGTTGTTAAATCAATGCCATGTTCATACATTTAGACAGGATTATGACATTATTACTGATTACAATTAGCTATCCAAAGTTCTAAAAACCTTTCTGACACAGAAGTATCCACCTCTATACACAATTGAATCATTTAAACTAGGGCTGTGGAAATTAAAGATTAATTTGTCGATTAATCGTTAAACTTTTTGATCGATTAAAATTATTTTGATCGCTAATGAAAACACTCACCTCTCCGCCGGCTTCTGGGAGTCCCGTTGGCGATCCGCTGACGCCACGGACATTGACGTCACTGGACTCCTCCCCCAAGTGGCTCCGTCGGCTAACGAAGGGAAGGGGGAGGAGATCGGTGACGTCGATGTCCGTGACGGCTAACGAAGGGAAGGAGTCCGGTGACGTTGTCCGTGATGTCACCGGACTCCTTCCCCCTTCGTTAGCTGGCTGAGTCACTTGGGCCGGTGAGTTTGCCCAAGAAACTTTCTCCACGAGCGCCAGCCAGGGCATTGGCCTATACACATACAGCACAGCAATGAAGGCATAAAATGAACTAGGATCACACTAATCCAGCACGTTATTATTCTGAGTTGCCCTACTCAAGCAGCGGCCATAGTGAGTGGGGCACGTGAGATTAATAACGTGCTGGATTAGTGTGATCCTAGTTCATTTTATTACTTCATTGCTGTGCTGTATGTGTATAGGCCAATGTAGTTGGATCTGTATTTGCGTTATAATTAATCGAAATTAATCGATTAATCGATGTAAAAAATTTTTGATTAATCGAACACGAAAATTTTAATCATTACCAGCCCTAATTTAAACATACCCATCAAATGAATACTAGTCTGTAATAGCTAATGGTATAACAGCTAAGGAGGGAACAGGCTGTTGCAGATCATAGCCGCAGATTCAGGTATCTCACCTTAGCTACAAGCTTTTTGTTTTGTTATATAAGAACCACAAATGTTTCCTGCTTTGGTTTAGTGGAATGCTGGGTTCATGTTTTCCAGGAGACATACTTACCCTGTGCAGCTTGCAGAGTCTGAGCATTGGAGATCTTGTGCAGCCTATCAAGAAAGGCATTTCTTGTTTAGCTCTAGTAGCGGACATCATCGCTATTTTACAGGGACAGTTGTTTAGTTAAGGCTTTAGTTCTTTTATATATGTTGTGTTCCAGAAACCATGTGGCTGTTCCCTTTTAAGGATTTATGCCCCTCTGTGGTTTCCAAAACCAGGGTGTTCTTGTTATTTTATATTGTATAGCTAGTACTCTTGTGCCTAATCATGTAAGCATTGCACATGCAGTCGTTTTTTTAAGTTTAATGCATTGAGACTTGGTACAGCCGCATCACACCACAGTATGCCCATAAAACTTAATGAAATGTCACTTTTGACATTTCAATAAAGTTCTAACAAAAAAAGCAACATGAGTATGAAGTGGCTTGATCACACACATTGGCACTGTTGGGGCACATGCACACCAGAAGTCGTGTACTAGTGTGAACAAGCCATGTTAATAAGCATGTATTTTACTGGGAAATTTTATCTGACGTAAGGTTGAAAAATGTACATACCTGATATGTTGACACAGGGGAAGCAGTAATGAAAGGTGTTATTGATGTCTGTGGAATCATTCGATTTGTTGCAATGTTGTAGGGGGAAGAATAAAATCTGGGGGGAAAAAACAATTAGTTATTTGTTTTGTTTTTTTGGAGCAATTGTGACTAAAATCTAAATAGATTAATAGATGTTAATGTTTTGCATAGACTTAAGAAGGATAAGAATCCCTCTCTGGTTTTTAGTGCTTCCTGGGACTCTGTAAAGGTGGCCATACACCTATAGATTATCTGCAGATCACAAAATACCTGAACAATGCCTGCATCCAATCAGATTGTTCAGGTATTTTGACAGCCAGCGGGGCCGACTAGCAAGATACTGAAGCTTGGCCCAGTGGGAGATTCCTCCATCACACCCAGTTTTGTGTAGATCTACTAAAGGAATCTACTAAAGAAGAGCATTTTTATTTCTGTCTGTGTTGCTGTTACTTCCTGTCTGGTAAAATGTTGTCAGAATCAGAACAGGAGGCAAAGGTCAGTCTCTAACAGAACCCAAGACAGTAGTACAAATGTGCTGGAGGCTCTAATCCTTCCCCACTCGTTTTGGCTGAACATACACTTTATACTGACGCAGTGTGACACCATGAATCATACAACTAAATGCAAATATTAAATACATTTCACCTACCCATTCTGTATAGCTGCTGTTGGATCATAAGTTAGTGCCATCCCAGTCTGTATTCAGAGAAAAATAAAATGTATTACACACACTTTACAAGGTTCATGAGCAAGGGTACACTAATCTGAAAAAAAAATATTATATGTGATATAATTTAAAAATGATAATGATGTCTTTGGGGCACAATAACAACCATTGTTCCACTACCACTGCCATAAAAGGATATTGCCTCTTCAGCCTATGGTTGCTTCATATTAAGTGGAAGAAAAAGCAGCCTTGGAAGTGCAGGCTGTTTGATAAATACACTCAATGAAAAAAGAATCTATTTTAAGGAACATGTCTAACAACTTTTAAGTGAACAATGTTTAATGCAAAGCAATAGGTTTTCTGCATCACCCACCTCCTCTCCAGCTTCCCCCACCATTTTTTTTTACCTTCCACAGAGTCGGGTAGAAAGCTTGTATAGGCTCCATGTTGGTCTGTGTCAAAGCTTATACAGTGCCATGCAGCCCCCACTTGAGGCTGTTTGGCCCCGGCAAATATCCACTTTGAACTACATTGTGAACTACATAGTGGGAGGGAAGAAGGTTACAAGGTCCCTCATACCAGGAAGTATTTGGTATTCGCAAGGGCTCTTCCGGACAATCAGGTGGCAGGAGGTAAAATAAAGGTATTAATAGCAGATGAGCTATAAAGAGAACCAGTTTCTTCACCCCAAACGGGCTATTACACCTTCTTTACAAGCTCTTTATTTTTGGATGCTATAGACTTTTGAGAGATTTAAGTGGCAGAAAACTAAAAATGTATTATCCTCCAATTTGATTTTTGAATGATGTCTCTTTTAAAGGGGATCATCAGTACACAAAAAATTGTCTTTTTTTCCTTACATCGATTCACATAATCCACAAAATCTCTCAATAGAGCCAGGTGATCATGCCTTCTTTTTCCTGAGTTTGACAGAGACCCCAGTACAGACAATAGATCCTAAAAGAGGACCACCACAGCTGTGGAATAATTTGACATCACATGTGAGGGTGATTTTCCAGCATGTTTTAATAGTATTAGGTATATATA